TGTGTGTAATTGTAGTGAGTGTGTGCATTCATATCTAAGTGTGAGGAACAATAGAAAGGGGGATTCTGTATTTCTTTGCACAGATCAGGTACCCAAGGACACTCATGGGAAATTGTGCTCTATGGGACAGAGGAATACCAGTCCTTTCTCTGCCCACCTCCTCAAACACATGCAGCCCTCTGCCCATTGCCACTGATCCTCGCATGAGAAAGTGATCTATGTCAGCCCATATGATGGGTCTGTTGCCTTTGTCTGGGCCATTTGGGTGGAAAAAGTGGCACTTGAACACACCACACAGACTACAGTCAACGGCCAGCTAGCATGTACGTTCTGCACCTGCATGAAAGAAATGACTCTCCCAACCAGCAGGTGGCAGTAATTGTATTGGCCATTCAGAAAGTGAAAGAAGAAGAGCAGATATACAGCTGTAAACAGCGCAGCTCTCATTCACAACAGCTGCTGTTTATAGCTGTTTCTAATCGAGAATAGGTCTGAAAAGATGTTGAAAATGACACTGCTAGCGGCGTGCCACCTAAGGCAGGACCCTCTTGCCTGTCACTCAGTATAATTGAGACAGTTGTAGAAAGGGAAATTAGCTATAAAGACTAAAACCATTTTTTTGTATCAGGCTGTAAACATGTTTATTTCTGCTGTAAAGTTGGGCATTTTAACATGGGTATTGACTCCCTTTTGGAGCCAGCCTCAAGTGGCCATTCAAGGACCTGCAGGTGGTACATACCGGGAAGATGAGGGTGACAGAGGCTCACTGATGGCCAACCATTGGCTTGGTCTGTCATGGGCCTTAGCGGTAAAAAAAAATAATCCTATTACTTTTTTAATCAACACCACAAATATTACTTTTAACATTACTGTCGTTACTTAGCCTAACGTCTTTAAAGGTCCCTTTAAACCACTCTACATTTTAATTTGTACAACTAAAATGAGACATTGAATTTTAACAATCAGCCCACTGAATTCTTGAATCTACTGACCATAAGCAGATAGCTTAACTCTAGTGACTGCATACAACACTCTAGAATTCCTGTCCTCACCTTGAAGCTGCAGGCTTCACAACCTCCAAAGCAAAGCTGCTGATGGCTAGCAATAGCAGCTAAGAAAACAGCTTTTCAGTTATTGCCCCAGCCCTCGCATCAAGCAGGCTTTTCATTGAACAAGCTGAAATATTTATCCACTAAATTTCAGGTGAAATGGTTAACAAGCTGACCTCCAAAATGTTAGAATAACAGATTGTTGCTGGCATTAGTTAAAATAACTGCATTTCAATTTTAGTCCTTACATTTCTTTATTACTGCAAAATCACATTACTGTTATACACCACAACACTAATATCTAGGTACCACTAAAGATAAATGGGGGATAAACCTTTGTAGTTTGTGTGAATCAACCCCTAAAAATTAAAGTTTTTTGCTAGTATAGGCCTGAGTTGAGGTGAGTCTGATTAATAATATGATCAGACAGTCTGCTTTTATGTTTTGCTTAGCCTACCAACTGCTCTGAGGCACCGATGGACACTTCAGCTGTGATTAGGTCACACACTGTAGCCTCTGAATAGGAGGAGAGAAAGGAAAGAGGGAATGAGTTATGGAGCTTTACTTCACAAAGAGATATATGACAAGGGTTGAATGTTTGGGATCACTAATGTTAGTCTGCACTATGTATCCTTATCTAGGTTTCCCTCATGGCTTCCGCCCCACCCAGTCATCTCCATCAGATACTATATCTAAAACGTCACCCTCTTCCACCCTCACTCACCCACCAACACTGCTACGACTGCTCATGCAATGTTTTTACTACACACCAAAATCAATTTCTACTTATTAATAACAGCTACAGTGGAAATATCTGTACTGCAAAAGAGATGGATAGAATTGAAAGAAGAAAAAGAGGGCTGAGACTGTGATGATGGTGGTGGTGGTGGGGGGCGGGGGTCGAGGTCATGCAACATGCTCCTAAAAATCAATTTTCACACAAGAGGACTATTAGGTTATTGAGAAGTGGAATGACTGATTGGGACTATAGTGTATGTGTGTGTGTGTGCCTTGTATTGCTCACATTGTGATGGAAACCTGTTTACTTACTCATGTTGTGGGGATCCACGTTTGGACCAGATGCTGCTCCCCACTGTGTAAATAATTGAATTTTAGGGTGGCGACTTGTTTTAAGGTTAGGGTGAGGTTAAAGGTAGATTAAGGGGTAGGGTTAGGATAAAGTCAATGTAAAGTCCCAATATGGAATGAAAACAAATGTGTGTGTGTGTGTGTGTGTGTGTGTGTGTGTAAATTACCCAACAAGTTTAAAAAAAAACTTCTAATATTTATTCTTCATCCCAAAGTATGACAAATGACTACTGCTGCCTTGCAACCGATTTGTATTCACAACACCTTGCACAAAAATCATAATTCAGCATAACATAGACATTTTAAATAAATGATCCTTTCTCTGCTCTTTGATTGTTCTTTCTTTACCTCTCCTCTTTTTTTTTTAAAAGTGCCCACTTCTGTGTATTAACCCAAAAGAAAAGAAAGGAATGAGGCCTGTCTCAGCGAGAAATCCTAAAGTGCTTGCCGACTCCTAGCTGCTAATACAACTAATGCAGTAATGTAAGGGCCAAGGCGATTAATGAGAGCGCTCTGCCCCTGACATCTCAGACACCCTAATGTTGCTGCAGCGTCTCTCTGGCCGTTCTTTAATCCATCACTGGTCCCTGTAACCCAATTATGGCCTGACGCTTTACTTTTAGCTCCTCTGCTGGGTCCTTCACACACATATATAAAAGGGCAAACACGCACACACACACATACACTTAAACAAGAGTGTTTGAGCATCATCAGACAAGCACATTTTATTTAAAAAAAGGGTGGGGGGATATTTGTACACGCAGTCATACCCACTCATACAGAAATACCTAACAGACACTTGCAGAGTCAGGTGAGCTCACAGGATACACACTTTAAAAGACTAGACTCATTCAGCTCTATTGCTAATGCATACTGTCTCAGAAAACTATTGTAAGTTGTTATGTGAAATGAAAAGTCATCTTATGTTCTAATCCACTGAAAGTCATCCCACTGAATCGCATATTTATTGTCATTTCACTATATGTGCAGGACATACAGAAGATCGAAATACCATTTCTCTCTCACCTAGTATTGAGTGCCATACCATTTAAGAAACTAAAATAGAATAAAAATGGACTAAAACAGAATAAGATGCCTGGATTAAAAAAATTATGATAAAACTAAACGGCTGTGACTTAAAACCAGCTAAGTTTCTTAATGCTGTTTTCATGTTTAGAGGTGAGGCCTTAAGGACTTAGCTCACTGTAATCAACTGGAATTAACTGATTACCGTGGTTAACTAACTTCCTGTGTTTCTAATGTCATCCCCATAAAGAACCTATCTTGTTATGATTGAAACTGTAGCATGATGCTACATTAACATGCTTCATTCCCAGAGGTCCATCAGTGCTCTGTTTTAGCTAAGGGGCTATGTACTGCATTTTTCATGAGATCCACCATGCAACATTTATGATTCACCCTAAAGGCTTTAAAACATTACTTGACTGCTTCACCCACCAGGATAACCCTAACATCTGGAGCATACTGTACATGACGGTGTCTTGATATGATGCAGGAAATGGAAGAATAGTACTGCAAAACCCCTCACTCACTCCCTCTTTCTCTTTGTCTGTCAGTTATGTCAGAGTAACAGCTCTGTCAATCAAGAGACCTATGTGCTTGCTTCCTCTAAATCAGGTGGACTGACTCCTTAAGAGTTACTGGAGGAGCCTACTTCCATTAGCCACTCCCAATGGCAAATTAACTTAAATGTACCCGCTCAATAAAGTTCAAGACAATCATTTGCATGTCAGTGTCCTTCTTCTCTCAAGGCCTTCCCAAATATCCAGCTGACTCGTGCTAATCCTGATATTGCTCTGATTCCATTGCACTAATAACAATTAACCAGAGAGCTAACTGCTGAGAGAAATTGAAGAGTTGGGAGAGAAATGGTGCACTTGTTAAAAAAACAACTAGTAATCACATCAGCTTTTTGCATTAAATTGACATATTCCAGGGGTTTTGGAAACATTTCAGCACACCAGGTAACACACAATTTTACTGGAATTCCAAGTGCTTTTTCAATATTCCATAGCAAACCACAACCTTTGTGTCACTTGCCTGTTACTGTCTGACAAGTGACTAAAGACAGCAATTTGTGGACTATATAAATATTATGATGCATTAGTTAGATCACAGTAAATAATAGGATTTTCCTGTGGCAATCACAAATGAGTCAGAAGAGTGTTAAAATACTTCTTAAATGAATAAAAAGGAATTTGACTCATCCCTTTGAACAGTTGTAATTAAATTAATTGTATATGCTATTATGACATTCATTGTCCAATCGGTGCTTTAACCTGAATTTCTTGTAGTTATCCATACCCTCCTTCTTGTGGTCCATTACTCCAACCCAAAATCGCTTTATAGCTCCATCCCATCATGTCCTGCCATCCATCTGTCATCCTAATCATGACGTGTTCCATTTTTGATCTTTAGAGATGAAGTCATGTCACTACCAGGCAATCTCACATCATCACCTATCATGTATATACAAATATAGGTATGAATAATATGAGAAAGGGCAATGTGGGGGTGGATTAGTGTTGTCGAAATTCACCTAGAACTGGAGGTCAGAGTGGTTTAGGAGAATATGAAAGATGTGTGTATCCACACAGGAGGCAGATCAGCTCAAAGTAAACTAACTTTGTCCAGGTGATGAGAGGAGGAAGCCTAACCTGTCTGGATGAGCAATGAAAAGACTGGGAATTATATCTACTGTATTTGTGTATCATGTTTTGAACATAGGGATTAGCACTGTTCCTCCTCAGTGCTGGGAATCTACTTCTGAAGGATCTGGATGATCACAGTGACTCTATTTTATTCCCCTCTTCTTTTCTCCTATCATGTGTTTATATACAGGATCTCTCCTCTTGTTTCCTCCAACCCCTGGGTGTCTTCAGCATCAGATGTCATCCTGGCAAGACAAAGTAAGTCAGACAACCACGTAGGCTGAACCTCTGAGGAGAATCTTGCCGCATTCTCAAGTGCTATAAGTGCCCGGGAGTCGTCTTACAAGAAACACTTATTGCATTTTGTATTGAGCATGATGTTATGAAAAATTAATAGTGGGATGGTGTGCCTTTCTCTGCTTAGCCTTTCTTAGTGTGATCTTTGTGTATGCATGTAAATACACACACTGCTTTACTTTTTATATTTATGCTTTGGTACCCTTGTGCTTGGGTGTAACAATGTGTGGTTGCATGTATATCTAATTTTGGCATGTGCCACAAGAAGCTAATTGTATAATTATATGCATATCACAGAGGTTTCATTCTCCAGAGAGCAGGTGTTTCAGTCAAAGAGCAAATATCTGATTCCCAGCTGCATTATTGACAATGGTTACTGCACAGGCCTTCTTCCATTTGCTGGATTTAGGCTCTTTATTCCCCTATTGCATATATCAAGTCTACTCTTGGCAAAACAATAGTTTAAAAAAAACTACCGTAAAGTAAACTGATATGTACACAAAAACTGAAAACAACAGATACACTGCACAAAATCGAATGCTTGCACTAGTTTATGTGAAACATATTGTGATATGTTTTACATTATAAACTTGCCAGGATATCACGTTGCATTTTGTGAAATAATTTAACGAGCTTTTGAACTAAGCTCATGTCAGTTTTGAGAGAGAAAAAATGTGAAGCTCCAACTCATCCTACTCATTTGGTTTCTTTTCCTAACCCATCTTCATTTCATTTCTTTTTGGAAATTAATACAACCAACCTGTACTTTTTAAATTATGATGGATTATTTTGAGCAGATAAAAGAGAATCTTATAAAAATGGATTGTGCATGAAATCAATGTTCTATGCAATTTTACTAAATATGATTCCAAATCTGTGCTTTGGTATTGAATAGGATCAAAAGCTTTTTTTAAATCTATTTGATTGTTAAAGAACATTTACTACTTAAATCTGAATCCCCTTGACCTACTGTGCTTTGCTGTTGTTACTTCATGTAATTCCACCTATACTGTTTACATTCCAAGTTTGCACATGAACATCTGCACATGCATAATTGCACACTTTCTGCCACCTATTGCACATCCACCTCCGATGTAGCATAATTTGTCTCCACTTGCTGTTTTTAAGTGCCTTAAGACTTTGTGTACTATTTATCTACCTTATATTTCACTTTGCATTGTTTGTCATTCATTGTGGACAGCAAAGTAAGAATTTCATTGTACAGGGAAACTTGTTTCTTCTTGTCTCCACTTGCTGTTTTTAAGTGCCTTAAGACTTTGTGTACTATTTATCTACCTTATATTTCACTTTGCATTGTTTGTCATTCATTGTGGACAGCAAAGTAAGAATTTCATTGTACAGGGAAACTTGTTTCTTCACTGTGCACATGACAGTAAACACTTTGAGTCTTGAGTCCTGTATTTATGCAGCACACCATTTATTCTTTAATCAGCATTCATGTGAAAAGACAGATCAAACTTAAATTATCAAGATATATAGTATATTTTTAAAAATCCTGGCAAAGGTCACACATTTCATAATATACACATTTTGGAATAGTATAGAGGCCAGAGTAATGCATAGCAGCTAGGTTCTGCAGTGAGTGGCTGCACTTGTTAAAAGTTCATGTGCTAGATCATTAACGGCTCAGATGTTAGTCTGACCCTGGGGAACTACCCCTGAGGTGGCACACCAACATTTAAAAGACAGTGGGCTGTTGAGTTAGCTGGGTCAAACGGAACAAAAGGCCACAGTGAGGTTTGCAGAAACCACATCTCGGTATTTAGGGAGCGATCAAATAGTAAGTCTCACAGCTGTTTATGATAACAGACCTTCTATACTTCTTCTCTTCTCTTCTTTTAGTCTTTCTGAATAAAGGCATCAAGTTTCTCTGGACACTGATGGATGGACTGTGAACTCCTGACCAAATGAAATGTAACAAGGAGGACTATCGCCACACAGCATGGAGTGTGCCAGAGGTCACAGTGGTGAGTTAACAACCTGCCTAGGCATTGTAGTACTGAATATACTATGACACACAGGGGTTTTCATTCTTAGCTGTCATACATCATCATATGTATTAAATCATGCTGGAGCAAGCACTGATATGTACACGATCACATGCACACCTCATAAAAGAAGATCACATACCATAACCAGTTTGTGATTGATCCCCACACAGGAAATCAAAAATTCCCCCACAGGTGGAGGCTAAAGCTGAACTACTGAATAGTTCATAGGAAGGATCAACAGTTGTCATGTATTAGAACAAGGCTTAGCAAAAGTCCTTTACCTTACAGTATTATATAAACCTTTGCACAACCAGTTACTATGTCCTTAGATACAGGGGGTGCTGATGTTCAGCA